CATAGGGGCGTGACTAACCATCCCCACCCAGTCCTCAAACAGGCCACGCTCAGCCTTTTAGCGCAGAGCAACTTCCCGGAGTCTTCACGGAGACTTCAGGGTTGTCTACCGCTGACGAAGCTTCTGTGAGAGAAGCGAAACGTCCTTTTTTGTTTTTTGTTTTTTGTTTTTTACCCACAGGTACAGATGACGACTGACAGAACCCTTTCTACCATGTCTTGGACAATGATGTGGAGTTTTTTTGTTTTTGTCTTATTGATTTACTGACAGATTGACAATTGACTAACTGGCATTCCAGTGAAATTTGATTGAAGCGATGATAGAAATACGGTCAAAATAACATGACGGACTGACGATTAGAGTTTGGTTCGAATTGAAATAATGGTGAACTGGCAATGATAGATGAGTGCCAAGGCCACTGACAAAAGACGGGCAAAATTTACTGACACGGCCACCTCTGTGTGTATATCATGCACATACAGTGCAAGGGTTTTAAGGTCATGCTTTAGCCTGGAACAGATGTACTATTTCCGGTGAGTCTGTTTTGAAATTCAACCAACTTGACACTCAACAAGGAGTCAATGGTGTTCCACATCAGAGGTTCTTCCACAGTACTGCACTTTGACTCGACGAGCGAACTCAAGTCGCTTTGCATATTGCAGCTTGTTGATTGGCGGGTAGTCACAGACCCCCCCTGGCTCCCCCCCCCCAGCCCCCTCAGGTTAAATGAGGAGGCATCAAAGGGAATGACGAAACCGGAGTTCCAGCTGCAGCCTCACGCTGAGACCACAGCGGCGCAGCGGGGGCGGTGGACCGACAGGACCGCTGGGCCTTGGCCGAAACAGACGCAACTTCAAAGGCCGCGCAACATCACAAGAGCCTCCCTCCACATCGCGTTACACCCCAGCACGAGTTACATACTATACCTCGCACCTACGTGCGCACAATGATCACGAGGTAAATTGAGTGAGAATGTGCAATCAAGCCGGGCTGATCAAATGATGATCAGGAACACGAGAGCTCATTAAAAACAAGTCCTTAATTAAAAAAACAGATATAGAGAAGATTGACTCTGTCAGGAGATTCAGATTTTCAAGTACGCAGACCCAAACCACCACAGATGCAGAACTTTCCCGAAATGTGCTCTCAGAAATCACCCTCAGATCTTACATTCATTCATTATTACACATGAACATTTGATTTAACTTACATCCATATATTTAAACGATTTTTTTTAGAGAGACAGAGAGAGAGGGGGAAAAATAATTTAAAATGTTATTTTTCTGCGCAAAATATCATACCTTTTTTTAAGGGTTTTTTTGGGGGGGTGAATATTAGAATAATTGTCTTCATTTTTTTAGGATGAAAACATACGCGTATTTTCAAGATTCATTTTTATGTTTTTTGCAGGCAAAAACCCACAACAAGAATATGTTTTTTCATCGTTGTTATCCTTGGGAGGTTTTTGTGCAATATAATTGTATAATAAAGCAACATATCTCTTTGTTATCTTCTTCTACAGGTTCGATTCTTGGAAAAGCAAGCCACCGACCGCCTAGTGTGTCAGCGCGTTAGCATGTGTTTGTTGCAAACAAGGTCAGTGTGCTTGCGTACGTGATAGTACAGTACAGCGAGTGTCTGGCTGAGCCCTCGCAGGTGGGACACGTGTCGCCTATCTAGCGTGATCATCTGGCCTCACGAGAGGCTGGCGAACACAGTCTCGTCGCGCTCGTCCCCGTTCGGAAATAGCTCCTCGTTATCGCGCCTGTGAGATTTCTGAGGGCAAAGCAGCAGCTCAAAGCGTCCAGGACTCCTCACGAGAGGCCTGTGTGAGAAAAACAAGCGCACTAATGATCCCGTCTAGATAAAGGAAGGTCTAATGATGCCAGTGAGCCTTCGACAGTGAGGGAAGACATTTGAAGCACCACACGAGAGGAACAAAGAGGTTAACCCCTCTTATCTTGACTGAAAATGCTGGTCCCACTTGTAATAGTTTGAAAGTTCCATATGTTTTAGGATGTAAACAAAGCCTAAAAGATGAGATCAGAAAGCCATTATTCATTCCAAGAGGGAAGGCTCAGGTGCTTCAGCAGTTCAAAAAAGGAAAGATAAGATCATTAGCAATACTGCTACTACTACTATAACTACAAATAATGATCATAATAAACTATTCCTTTTTTCGTAAAACTATTTTTTAAAAATATTTAAAAAAACCAAACCATAAAATGGGCGATGGAGTACCACATACATCTCTTGTGTAGCTCGTTGCAAAGAAATTTGCTTCGCACGTTGTATTTTGTAAAATTATTTGTGTCTAGTATTTACAGCGCGGCACAGGGTTCGAAGCTGGGCCCCGTTACTTACTGTGTGGTGTTAACAACAGAAACTGACACCTGAAAAACAAGATGCCATATATCAGTGAAGAATGCCTACATGCATTATCTGTATTGGGGAAACCAAACAACCACCAAGGAGAATGGCACAACATATCTGGGCTGACCTTATTTAGGTGAATACAAAATGAATTGAAATACTGGAAGCCTATATCGTCTTTTCTAGCATCCATCCATCCACGAGCCACACAAGGGCCACGGCCATGTTGGAGCATATCCCAGCTGTCTTCAGGCAGTAGGCCAGGTACACTCTGAATTGAGCGCCAGCCACGTGCACTCCCGTTATAGTTAGGAAATTTTAAACCGGACAAACATTCACGATGCAGTGTTTTATTAAATAAATGCATTTGTATCTTCATGGCTAACACACAGTTTGTGTCCCAAATGAAAACACTGCCTCCATGTGTCTAGCCCCCCAAAAATAAATACATAAATAAATACATAAATAAATACATAAATAAATACAAATACACGTGACAATAACAATTTTGGGGCTACACCCAGACAAAACCAGACACACGCTGTTGTTGTTGACTGAGCCGAATAAAATATTAACCGCATGGCAAATGTTTACAGATGAGTCCAGCGACCCAAAGACACTTTACAACGGGCAGCTCTTTTTACAGCTCCCGTGATCCGTTCGCAATGTCAATGAGAGTACAAAGTTTCGTTATTTTCGCCTCATTTGTGAGTTTTCTGAATGTAGCAATTGGTATTGTGAAAAGGTGCGTCACCGGGGTAAACAGCAGCTCTAATAAGAAAAGTGACAAATTCGGGAAACACCATGTATTATAGTACACGACTGTGTACACAACAAATCAAAATATGCAAACGTCCACCCAACCAATTATAAACAACAAATGGGATAACTTATCTAACATACAGGATTAGAGTACATCAAAAGATCATATCCAGCATTGTGAAGGCAATTTCTAATCCTTTCCACGTTGTTTTTTTGTGTGTGTGTGTGTGTGTGTGTGTGTGTGTGTGTGTGTGTGTGTGTGTGCGCGTGTGTGTGTGTGTGTGTGTGTGTGTGTATTAAAAAAATGCTTATTTTGCCTTGGCACGGAACATGTGAGAATCACCAGCGTATGTATTGATCTGGAAATCAGGTGAAAACTGCAAATGTACTTGTGTGAGTAATTTGTTTGTTTACTTCTCTGAAAGATTGGCATAGTTTCGAGAAGTGCTGCATGTTCAGTCAAGACTTCTGTGAAGTACCTCAAGGCTACGACTCCCTTTCTTCGACTCCCAATAGAATCAGTTTTGCTGCTCGCCAAAAATCATGCTGGAGTCGCGAGTGGAGTGGTCCTGAACATGTGAGGGTAACGAACAAGTAAATAGCTGTAAATAGAAACAAACACGGCTTACCTGTCGACATTTTGTATTTTTTTTTCCCAAAGCACATCTTCCCCACATACCCATTTTTAGTGCTAGCTCATTTTCAGAGGCATTTGGCGCGTATCTGGGGATTGTCCCTCCCCCCCCTTCGCTTTTGTGATATCATGCGAGCAGCTTCATACAAGGTAAGAGAACTTCTCTTGACAAAAACAATATGTGTCAGTCCCCCAAAAATACCAATCTATCATTGTGTTATGTGTATAGCACCTCAGTTTTTGAGTTTGGATGTGCAGACCATTGGTAGAGAAGGAAAACTGCAGTTGAAGGTTAGTAATGAGGAGCTCACCCGTTTGGCCAATTCATTCAGACTGACTCAGAAGCTACTTAAAAGAAAGGACACACACACACACACACACACACACACACACACAAAATTTGTGAAGTTGGGTGAGTATCAGTCAAAATGTTTGGACATTCTGTGTGGCATCCCCAGGATTCAGTGTTGGGACCAAAATGTGTTTATATTATATACTATTGATTAGCGTAATGTGTTCAATCCATCCATCCATGTTCTGATGTCATGGGGCATGCTGGAGCCGATCGCAGCCAGCCCATCTTCGGTCAGTAGGCGGGGTACACGCAGAACTGGTTGCCAGCCAATCGCAGGGCACACAGAGACGTACAACCATCCACGCTCACACTCACACCTAGGGACAATTGAGAGTTTTCCATTAAGCTGCCATGCATATTTTTGGAATGTTTGAGGAAACCGGAGTACCCGGAGAAAACCCACGCAGGCACGGGGAGAACATGCAAACTCCACACTGGAAGGCCAAAACCAGAATCGAACCCTGCACTTGTGCACTGTGAGGCTGACGTGCTGGCCGTCCTAATGTGTTCTACTTATTGAAATTTGTGTTGTTTGCAGGCAATGCCAAGAATCCGAGTTTCTGGTGAGACAAGAATTTTCTCGGAATTTAAGAAAGTAAAAAAATGGTTTGATAAAAGCAACATACAAGACATTTATTGATGAGTCCACCTGTCACCAAGGAAACATCCAGCTTCTTGAAGTGCTCTCGTGTTTTGTTTTGTTTTGTTTTTTATTCTCATGATTTCTGCTGTGATGGCATCCCGTGACCGCCCCTTAAAAAAAACAGTCAAACAAAGTCCACAAATTCATGCTGGGGTTCAAGGTAAACAGAGCGGAGGCGTACAGGATGATGACGAGTGGCCTCGCCTCTGATTGGACGACGACGATCTTTAAAAACATGCAACACACACACAAAAGAAATTCAGTATATTTTGACGTTTCAAGAGTGTGTTGTTATTTGTTGTGACGGATTTGTACAAGTCATGAGCGGATGTCCGTATTTTGAGAGGAGACATTTGTACGTTTATTCTTTTTATTGTTTTTTATTATTAATGGGAGTTGACTTGCATGTCATATTTGATCATTTCATTTATTCGGTTTGTTCCCAGGTTGTTTCAAAACCAACCTCTGGAGCAGAAAGAAGAGCAAGATGCCTCTCAGTCAGGCGTCAACAAGGCCAGTAAAGGAGGCATCATCTATGGAGACTACCTCAAGGTACACAAACACCTGTCACACTGCACTTTTTGGCACATTTGAAAATCTCCAAGTGTTTTGTTTATGCGTTTTTATTTATTTTTCCTCCTTGAAGCTGGATAAAATTGTTACGGCCCAGGTGCTGCAGAGCGAGCTGAAGGGCAACAAGATTCATGATGAGCACCTCTTCATCGTCACCCATCAAGGTGAATTACGTGCTAACTTTGAGGGAACTAAATGTCTGCAGCACTTTGTAGTAAGGTTAACTACCCTTCGGAAGGGCTTGCAGTTTGCTTATAGCACGGTTGGAAACACGTTAATGCTATAATGGACCTTTTCACGGTTGTCAACATGACTTACCGGCTCACTTTTAGGTATATTTAAGGAAGCTACTGCCGTAAAGGGAGGCTTGATTGTTCTAAAAATCCAGATAAGAATTTTCATTACATCGTTCATTCAAATGTCATAAATAATTAATTATATTGGCCATTAGTTAAAATGGCATCACAATTGAAAAAAGAAAAAGACATTGTCTTAAATGAATTTTAAAAAATGCCATTGAATGTATAAAAAAATGACATAATGAAAGAATTCAAATCATTCAACAAACGATTTTAATAGATAAATAATACAAATACGATTTAAAAAATTATCAACTGTCATTCAGTAAATGATAATGTGTAAATAATAATCAAAAATACTAATAAAATAACAAAAAATGTGCATGAATAAACCAAAATGTTCTTAAAGAAATTTGTAATTAAATATTATGACTTAAAACACATAAAAACACAGTTAAATGAATAAAATAAATGGATAAAAATGTCACAAATTAAAAATTCAATTTAATACGTACAAATATGGCACTAGTTATTACAAATTGATTTCAATAAATTAAAATGCAATTAAAATGAAAATGCCATCAAAAATGCAAATTCCATTATTTAAAATAAATTCATTACACATTTAAAAAGGCCATGAAATATTTTCATGGGCTTCTTAAATAGATGACTTTCATATTGTACTGTATATTGCTGGTGTCAGGCCAAAACTTCCTATGTCACAATTTAGTAAATTTTTGTGATTTTTTTTTTTCTCAAATCTACACTACTTGTCAGTCGACACAAATTATCAACCAATCTAAAGTGTTGGAATATGGCTTGCTCTCTTTCACAATGAAATGTTCATGACTGAAAAAATATGTCACTTTGGTGATCTTCTAAAAAGTGAAGATTTTGGCAGTTACAAGGACTCTGCCCGACACCAACGATAAAATTATATGTCATATTGATTTACCATTTCAAGTAACTTTTGTTGGCAAGTCAAAGCAAAAACTCAACCCAACGAAAGCTCGTATCTGGAAAAACTGGTAAACTCGTCACTCGTACCTCAAGGCACCACTGTATGTCCATCTTTGCGATGCTAAGTTTTTAACAAGCAACCACTCATCATTGATGTGTGCCAAATTACCGGTTTAGACCACCTGATACTGTATGCAAAGTTGAAAGTCGCAGTATTGCTCTGGAATGAGTCTTGTCCAAATTGAACTCGCTGTTATAGAATTGCCTCATAGCCATGTTTTGATTTATTATAAAGTAACCATGTCTAAGTAAAATGTCCCAAAAAGTCTGTTGTGTGTTTTCATTGCAGCGTATGAGCTGTGGTTTAAACAGATTCTCTTTGAGCTGGATTCAGTCCGCCAGATCTTCATTAATGGACACGTGAGTCGCATTTTTTTACCCGCGAATGTTCATTCATCACATTACGCGTGATTAATATCTGTCAGTTTCTTGTTGCTGTTGTGTGAAAGTCGACCGCCTGAAATCCAATCCAAGCCGCAGCAAACAATTAACCTTGTTTGTCGTCAATTGATCCGTGGATTGTTTTCGCAATTAGTCAATTAGGAGTTGGCTCTGGCGTGTTGGAAAGCGCTCCCAAATGTCACTTGGTGTTTGCAGCCGTTCAGCTTTCAATCAAAAGTATAAAAAGTCCATGTTGAGGAATTGATGAGGTGAACTGTGACTTGATCAATCCCTTGAGTGACAATCTTATTTATTTATGCTTGTGAATGTTTATTAGGGTCCCGTATATCCAACACACGCAAAACATTTAGTTTGGGGTTGAACGTTGATTCATCCCAATCTACCATCATGCTCCAAACCTTACGCAACAACCAAAATGCAAAATGTTTCACAATTTACAGTGACCCAGCTGTCTTGTACATCTAGTTGGTACCAAGTATACTAAATATCTACTTTGTCTTTGAATGACCCTTGGAAATGTAAAAAAAAAATAAAATCACTAATGTTCCTGAAATGGATGCTGCAAACCAAAATGGCAGACTTCATGTGTCTTTTTAGCCGTGCATTTTTCAGACTATTTTGTGGGTCTACTCTTGATAGACATGCCTACCAAAATATTGTACATGCTGCTTAGTGAAAGTGGCTTCTGGGACTGAATCTTTAAAAAGATTGTGAGGTGCTACAGAACCGGAAATAACCCAAGAATTACTTGTAAATAAACGCTTCAAGCCGAAATGGCACACTTCCTGTGCCATTTAAGGCATGGTTTTTGATACATTTTAGCTGCTCTACTGACATTAGACATGCCTACAAAATCTCACGTAGCTAGCTAAATGAAACTGGCCTGGGAGCTGAATTTTTGGAGGCATGTTACGGAGGGAGGGAATTCAAATTGAAAACATGTCTTCTTTGTGCAGGTGCGAGATGAACGCAACATGCTCAAAGTCAACACTCGCATTCACAGAATCGTGATAATCTTCAGGCTGCTGGTGGAGCAGTTTGCCATCCTGGAGACAATGACAGCCTTGGACTTTTTCGATTTCAGGTTTGACAGTTGGCTTTTTTCTCTCTCTCAGCTGCCTGCACAGTGTGCTGACTTGATATTTTTGATTTGGTGTGTAGGGAATATCTGTCTCCAGCTTCTGGCTTCCAAAGCCTTCAGTTCCGACTCCTGGAGAACAAGATTGGAGTCCCCGATAACCTGAGGGTGCCATACAACAGACAGCATTACCGTGACATCTTCAAGGGTCGTGACGGCGAATTGCTGCTCGCCGCCGAGCAAGAGCCCACACTCTTGAAACTGGTCGAGGTAAAGAAAAAAACTCTTACCGGTAATAGCGGTGTCAGTAAACACATGTTGCGAGGTTTATTATTAACCTGACTGGACTGACTTTGGCTGGCTATTCATTTACTAGAATGGACATGCGTCATTAGACCGCAATCGATATAGCAGCGCCACTGATTGGTTGCAAAGTTGTAGGCGGTAATGGCCGTAGTCATCAAAGTATGGAGTATCAACATTACAAACTGTCTGATAATTTATTCACGGAGTGCACTTGTTGATTGACAATTGAATAGGACACAGAACAACCTTTAGTATCCACCCAATAAATGGAGCCACTCGAAGTGGGTAAATGTAAATAATATATTTAGGATAAAGAGTAAGATGATTCAAAAGCTATGAAATACCTTTTAACATTCCACAACTAAATAACTCACTAAAATTGACAAAAACATACTTATGATTTTAAATACCAAAACATTATCACTTAATAATTCTTACTCAAAATTCACTGACATGAGCAAACATGGCAAATGGGCTTTTACTCACTCTTCGCTCTTGAAGAGTCTTCTCATTCACCAACTGATGACACAGAATCAGGAGAAGACTGGGGAATTGATATTTTGCTTATGGACACTATGACATGGTCACAATTGGGTTAAGGATTGAACCCACAACCTTCGGGTTGGGTGTTGACCACTGTACTACCTGAGCTATGCAGCACTGATTATTTTGCAGTAAAGATATGAATGTAAGATCTCAGGTAAACTTATTTATGTAAATCAGTTTATTAAAGTGGCTGCAAATTGTTTCCCTACTTTTATTGGGTTGATTCTATAGGCTGTTGTTGTTGGTTTTTTTTTTTTTTACAATGTACATTTATTGAGTTGATTCTATCCTTTCCTGTTTTCTTTTTAAATTGTAGGTATATGTTACTTTTTGGGTAACGTGTGTTACAGATGTCAAATAAGTAGTGTGAGTATAAGTTACCATTTATTTTATAATTTCTTTCCTGCCTAAAATAATCAGTTAATTTTACCAGACTTTCATGGGTTATGTTTATCACTCTCCAATTTTTTTTTCAGTGTTATTGTGGTTTCAGTGGTGGTAGTAGTGATACTAGTAGTAGTAGTAGTAGTAGTAGTAGTCGTCGTGCCAATGGTGGTAATAGTAGTACCTGTAGTATTAGCAATAATAGCAGAAGTAGTATTAGTAGTAGTAGCAGTTGTAGTTATGGTGCTTGTGGTAGTAGTCGTAATCATAGTTGTAGTAGAGTAGTAGTCGTAGGTGGTGGCTGTGGTGATAGAATTCTGAGCAGTACTGTAATAGTATTAGTAGTAGTAGTGAAGGTAGTAGGTAGTGGCAACAGTAGTTGTGTTAGAAGTTACGATGGTGGTAGTAGTAGGAATAGTCGCAGTCATAGTGACAGTTATAATGGTCATAGCAGAAGTAGTCGAGAAGTCGTCGTGGTGGTGGTTTTTGTAGTGCTTTCAAATGACAGGGACTAACAATCGAGAATATATATGACATTCTGGAAGTAACTTGCTAGTGACACCCTTTTTTTAAAGGAGTGGCTGGAGAGAACCCCTGGCCTGGAAACAGATGGTTTCAACTTTTGGGAAAGTCTGGAGAGCAACATCTTTAATGGCCTTGATAAGGAAGAGCAAAACATTGAGGTAAGACGATAATAATAATAATAATAATAATAATAACAATAAAAATAATTTTAAATCACATCTAAAGTAGATGCAAAGTCATGTTGCAATGTTTGTGGTCCGTAGCAAATGTCTGACTGTGAGGCGAAAGAGGAGATGATGGCTGAGTTGCTGAAGCAGAAGGAAGTGTTCACTTCCTTGTTTGACATCAAGCGTCACGAGCATCTGCTCAGTAAAGGTCAGCGCGGTCTTTCCTGAATTGCTGTACAAGACGTGCATTTGAATTCATCAAGGGTGTGGCTCACCAATGTTACTTTTTCCCACCAAGGTGAGAGGCGGCTGTCTTACAAAGCTCTGCAAGGCGCTCTCATGATCTACTTCTACAGGTAGCGACACATACAGACTGCACCTTGAAGTGTTAGTAGTGGTACTAGAGTGGTTGTACTATTGTAGTAGGTACTGCTAGCTCTGTAATTTGAGGAATTCGTTCTCCTTTTTGTTTATGTTAATTAATTATAACAGTTTACTTTTCAGCGATATGACTGTAGGAATGATTATGGGGTGTACATGAGATTGAGTGCATATATCAGCTCCATGAGCAAGGCACAAACTCTGGGTGCATCCAGGTTTGCCGGGACTTGAGACACTGTCGAACCAAAGCATAGTTTAAGGAACTAAAAAGTTGCAGCAGACACCTGGTTAAAATAAAATAAAAAGAGAAGAGAAGACATTCATTTGAATACTTGAAAAAGGCTGAGAAGCCAATAAGGTTTGAGTCAGTAATTTCTCTTAGTGCAGCTATGATCGCCGCACTGGCTCAATCAGATGCCTTCCTCCGTTTCTTGAAAATAAGTTATGGTCTGACAGCCCGGATGTTCCTATGATCAATGTTGCTTACTGTGGGGAAAAGTGAAGCCACCGGCGGGCCTTTAAATTGCCACTCGCTAAGCCCGCCTAACTTGAATTTCTCTGCAGTGTTTTCATGTTATTTTTTTTCTCCCTTTCACGTTCTTTTTTTTCTCCCTCTCTCTCATGCGAAAATGCCACCGTGTGTGACTGAATATTTTCCGAAATGAAGTGGGAACGCTACGAATTGTTTGTTTCATGTCTTCATTCACATATTTGTAATTGACATGTTAATACTGTATTACATCTTCATGTTTTTACATCTATTAATGTTCATACTGTATTATACATCGCAGTTGGCGGACATTTTATTAGAAATGGTTACAACGTACTACCGTTATAACATGCTGGTTCGTTATGTCTCTTGAGGTACGTTGGAACAAGGTTCAACTGTAGTACGAGCAGCATCAGTAGTAGTACATAAAGTAGGATTTGGAGTAGTAGCCGTGTGTGTGTGTGTGTGTGTGTGTGTAAATACAGTTGAGTTGAGTTGAGTTGAGTGTGTGTGTGTGCTGACAATGAGGCCTCGCAGGCATTCAGTTCGTCGATAACACCGCCTGTTGATGTATGTTCAACTTAGGGAGGAGCCCAGGTTCCAGGTTCCATTCCAGCTGCTCACCTCCCTCATGGACATTGACATGCTCATGACAAAATGGAGATGTGAGTATGGTGGATGCCCCCCATAGTGCACAGCGATGATGGAGCAGGATGATCAAGTGTTTGGCTCTAGGCCTCAATGCACTAACAGGGAAGTTTGCCCAGCTAAAAAGTTAGACAGAAGCCTTTGGAGAGCTGCTCCACTCCACTTCAATATCGTTTTTACTCACCCCTGCCCTGGCAGTTGTAAATCAATTATTGACGTCTCTTTTTTTTTTTTCTTTTTCTGTTGTTGTTGTAGACAATCACGTATGCATGGTGCACCGGATGATTGGCAGCAAGGCAGGCACGGGGGGCTCGTCCGGATACCACTACCTGAGATCCACTGTCAGGTATTGTCTATGTGTGTATGTCAAGCCCTGCCTTGTTGAGAAAGAGAGATACACTACACAGCTCTATTCATCTTGATGTAGCTTGTCCAATACTTTATTCAATATATCTGTCTACCTACCTATTGGAAAAAAGCCCAATCGACTTTGTACCCGTGACAGGCAGTGTTGTCTTTAGCCTCATGTACACAAGTGAGAGGAGCTAGTAGTAGTTGGTAGTAGTAGTTGGAGGAGCAGTAGTCCCTCACGTTTGTCATGAGCCATCAAGGCTTTCTACGGATGAAATCGATGAAGTCTGGCAGTTTTGTCGAACATTTGTGGCTCTGCCACTGCAGGCACGGTGCCACGCTTGGGCAAAGGGGTGCCATAAGCACATCAGAAATCTGTGCAGCCCTGGTAAAGCCCCTCCAGCATTTTATTTTAAATGTTAAATATTTCTTATTCATTTAATCGAGTTTAAATACATTTAGAAGTTCACAAGTAGCCATTCTTTTCCAATGAAGTTCTTGTTTCCATGTTTGTGCTGCATCAGTACTCCGTGTGGCTTTGTGAGGGGAGAGTACGGGGGGCAAAGGGGCCTTTTATTTACTTGCACTTCAGGTTAAAGATTCATCATTGCTCTGTGCTCAACTATTTTGATGAATGTACTTTGGCCAACTTCTGTTGAAAGCAATTGGAAATTGAGCATGCCTTTGCTGTTTATCATCCTTTTCACTGAAAAAACGAGAACCTCTGCAAAAGAGAGTGAAGTAATGAAAATGGATTGTTACCCCCCCCCCGCCCCCCCACACACACGCACATATTTTGTTGAAGCCCCCTCTAAGCCTCAGGAAAGAAAAAATCCTGCGGCAGCGTCATATGAGGCTCCTCTTTCGCTCTCTCGCTTTCTCTAATATATGTGAAAAACAAATGTACCACAGCAGGCATAGCTAAATTAAACCTTTTTTAGGCAGCAAGTGTGATATGGGGAAATAGACATGCCATATGTCTTTTATCCCACTACGGACCATCTCCAAGTTTTGATATGCCCTATTACGTACTGTAGTTGTAATGATCTCACCACCTGTCATGTTTGCCCACTCAGATTCCCCATGTTGTCTCGCCGCCATCCCGTCCCCACGGTAGCCTGAAACGTTCCCTTTCATATTGCCTACCTACCTGTGTAGCAGGTCGTTATCATTCACCATGGCTGTACATTTCATATAAAACCCGAAAAAGCTAAATAAGGCTATATTGACACTGCAGGGTGTGATGCCCGATTCATTTTTGTTGTTGTTGTTGATTTTTGTTTGTTTGTTAGTTTTTTTTTGTTAAATACGCTCTTTTTATGTACTCATTCACATGACAAAAAGAAATGCAACTTCTTATGTGAGCGTAAAATGTCCGTGAAGTGACACCCATGCGCACAAAGTATGACATCGAATGATGTGCACATAAAAAAAAAAAATTAAAAAAAAAAAATTAAAAAAAAGTCACATGGGGCAGTTTTTACAGATGTAAATATGGTCCTGTGTGTATGGGCTCGTTTTCTCATTTCATATCGCCAGAGTAGCAAGACGGGAGGAGGTAGAAAGATTTTGGGGAGATGAGTCAAAGGTCCTCCTGGAGACGTCGAGTAAAGATGACATCACGTCATTGCCGCGTGTAATAAATGAAGCATCTATGTGACTGAATTAATACAAATGTCCATTTTATTGCTTCATGTTTCGAGTGGGATTAAATGAAAGTCAAATGTAAAGAACACCAACTGTTACTCAAAACAACCTTGTCGATTCACAGTCGTCAGTCGTCTCTCGAGAGCGCATACTGGGCTTTTGATGGCGTACAGCTTGGATGTGTATGGATGAGAGTTCATACTGCAGGCACATTTGCATACATATCCGATTTAAATCGACATACAAGGTCGGCTTTGAAAACATTTGGGAATTGTACCATTCACACTGCTTGAAAAAAAAAATTAGTTATGTATGGCATCTGGGCAAAAAAAAAGTCAGAATTGAGCTGCGGTGTGAATATCACCTACTGGACTCCACATCTTTTTTCGCTATAGCTAGTTAATGCTTGTTATGCGAACAGTAACTACCAGGAGACTATATTCCCAGTTGAACTATTTAATGGATGGCAAAAAGATTTTAGTACACAGCCATGGAGTATTTCCTGGCAGATGCGGAAGAAGGTCTGGCCAGCCCAAAATGATTCCTACTCCTAATCAACACTAACTGAGCTGGTTTGCATTTCTATGGTTATTTACCTTAAACACATTTTTGTTTTCCTTCCAGTGACCGCTACAAGGTTTTTGTGGACTTGTTCAACCTGGCTACATTCCTGGTACCTCGCCACTGGGTGCCCAAGTTGAACCCCAATGTCCACACCTTCCTCTACACAGCCGAGTGCTGCGACAGCTCCTACTGCAGCAGCGAGGACTCAGACTAGCACAGAAAACGACAAGAAAACCATACAAGCACACACACACACACACACACACACACACACACACACACAAAAAGACTCTCGCGTCTATCTTGTTTCTCTTTCCATACAATCACTGTGTTGACAGTTTTCCACTGTGCACCGATGACGAGCCTCCTTCTCTCGACTGAAACGTTCGCTCAGTACAATTTGGCCGTCCCGTGAGGATGTAAATATAATTACTATTCAAGAGAATCATGGTGGTCAGCATTTCAAGCAATTTTCACAACGTGGAAATCAAGAAAATATGTGTATATAATGTCAATATCATGCACGCTCACTAGACATAACATTAGGCGCACTTGCACCAATAAGATCCAAGAATTCAAGTGGAGAATTCAGCATAGCTCACTCTTGAATCAATATGTCAAATATCACCTGTAACATACTTTCTAATTTCTTGGTTGCTTTATTTCGTGAGATGAGCGTCAACATCTTAGGAACAGCCCTCGGAATAAGGCACCACCGCAACCAAGCATACAGGTGTACCTAATTGTGTGTCCGGTGAGAGGAAGCGTTAAATTTACATGCTTAATATATTATTTTTTTATGCAGCCAGTTATATAATCTTTGCATATGGAGCTGTACAATTTGGTCATACATATTTGTTGTTCATAGAGTTTGTATTATAAGTGTTTATGCATACCTAAATAAAGCCCAGCACTGACGCCTCGGTAAAGTCATTTATTTGCATCATGTCAAACCAACACGGCTGCCACAGAATCCGCGATGCCTGGCAACACACGAGGCAGAGAGAATATTAATGTCACCCGGCCTCGATGAGATGCGCAGCAGACACTCCCATCTTGAAAGTAGATGGGAATGTAAAAATCACCACAGGAAAAAAAAAAAAAAAAACAGGCACCGTTTCCACTCACCGCAAAGGTTGCTGCCGAGTTTGACATAAACGTAACCCTCGTTTCCCCAGTCGGTGCCCCAGGAGTTTTGCACTATCCAGAAGGGAATTTCTCCTTAAAAAAAAAGCATGCAGACTGAAGTTACAAGGAGCAGAACTTGACGTGAGAGTGTAAAAGACTGGATGATGGTTTTGTGTAAATAAGTCACAATTCACTCAATACAACTGCTGTGAAAGTATTAAAAATGCTGCATTTTAACTTATTTGATGGTGTGTCTAGTGGAGAGGAGGAGTGGGGGTGAGGGGTGTCCTCTGTGCATGACTTTTACCGTTTGGGTGAATGTTGTTCAGTTTTGATTTCATTTTCAATTTTGGAGCATGCGTGGAAGACAGGGGGTGCACCACTTTTGTCAGTGTCAAATGTTTGGGAAACTCATCTAACCTGAAATTTCAGATTCAGATTTTTGTTTAATTCATTTTTTAGAGTGTTTGTGTCATGTTCTGTCTTGATTGTGTTCCAGCTCCAGCTGGAGTGAAGGCCGTTTCCCTCCAGCAGGGCCACCTGCCTCGTTTCTCCATTAAGCCTCGCCTTGTATTTAAGGACTCTGACTTGTGCCGCGCCTTGTCGGATTATTGACCTTGCTTACTATTGGGTTTCAAGTGTGATTTTTTTTTTTTTCCCCAGACATCTCGATACCATTTGTAGTAGCTCTCAATTTGGTCCCAATATCCTTGTTTGTAAGTATTTTTGTTATTCTCGTATTGCCCTTTGTTTTTGTGTTATTGAACTTTGGAATATTTCATTTGTGTATTCTCGGTTTTCTATTGAACCTTGCCTTTGCAAGCGCTTTTGGTTGTTAACATAGATTTTTCTGGCACTTTGTGATTAGTGATTTCAGTTTATACTTTGTCGGTGCGATTTTCTTTCAAAAATATTTTTGTAATCGCTCTTTGTCTGGGCCTGCATTTTTGGAATCCCAATGTATTATTTGGTTCGGTCAGAATTTAATAGTTTGTGGGTGTGAAAAGGTGTGACATTTTTGTCAGGAAGTTGACGATAATAGTGTGGCTTCAGAATTTTCAGAAACACTGATCTGAAGGGGTTTGAGAAAGGCTGATGTGAAATACACAAAAGGCTCTGTTATTTCTTTGAGGGTGCGAATGTGAGAAGGGGGATGTGTGACTTTAAAGGCTGGGGAAAGAACAATTCAAAACTCAGTTTGGGGAAAGGCTTACTGAAAGTAACCAAAAACAGTTTTTCCATCCTAATTTTAGTGTTTGTCCGTGGGAGAGGCGCTGCACCTTTTGATGCGATGTTGTTGGGGATGGACTGATCTAAAAGTATACAAACGATTGTAATTTTGTATTTATTTTTTGCTTTCAGGGGAGAGGGGGTGCACCATCTTTATTGGGATGCTGAAGAGGGTTCGCTGCTTTAAAAGTTTAGGAGAGTCTGAACTGAAAGTATTTAAAAGGCTTGTGTACAGAGAAAAAGGGCTGCGGCATCTCTATCAGCATGTTAAATAGGGAGCATCGCTGCCTTTCCCAAACTTTTAAAGCCACATAACGCCTTTGACATGCCGAAAGTGTCAGCACACCCAATGTCCTTCAGAGCTCCCCCCAAAAAGTCCTTTTGTATACCAGCCATTTCCAAACTTTTAAAGCCACGCACCTCCTTCAACATCCTGACAGAGGCGACGCACACGCTATCCCCCCCCGCCCCCCCTCACACACACACAGTACAAAAGCAATTACCTTGGGACACATTTATTAAATAACCAAAAGGTTTTATTATTCTGTTTATTTCGGGTGAGTGCACAGGAGAGGGCACGCACCATCTGTTTTTATGTCAAAGGGAGAGCATGGCTACAAAATCTAGTGAAACGCCCACAAAAGTAAACACAAACTATGCTTTTTGGATGCTAAAAGCTCAGCCTTAACGCTATCCACACCCTTTTGACATCCCATAAGAGGTGCCCCCCTCATCGACACGTCTTAAAAATTGCATAAAATCCTTATGAAACTTTCAGATCAGTCTTTCTAAAACTTTTAAAATCACGCAACCCCTTCAATCACAACAGAAACCCTCTCTCATTAAACACATTCCTAACTCTTACATAACACATAAGAGACTAACGGCTGAATAATAATGGAACAGAATGGAAGTTTTTTTTTGTTGTTTTTTTTTTTTTTTTTTTTAACCAGGTTCTCTGCAGAGTTGATTGTGTTTCTGACATTAATAGTAGATAAATACAAGGGAAACTAAAAAGGCAAGTCGATTGTTTATGCATTTTCAATGTGTTCTTTTGTATTTAATGGCCATATTTGGCCATGGGAGAATAATGGATTTATAACAATTCTCTGGAAGGATCAGTCTAATTTTAGACTTTCTTGGTCTCTTTACTTCAAGGGCTTTAAATTCTATTTTGTTTGTTTGTTTTTAGGCTGCGGTACAAGTACGGGACAAGTATATTTGAACTCAAGATGAGCTATACTGGAAATGAAACACACACACAAAATCTAAGAAAAGCTGCAAAATACATTTGAAACATGATGGTTAATAAATAAACAAAAATACTTAATTGCATTCCAAAATGTGGTTGGTGCAGTGCATGTTCTGTCAGAGGTGGGAGTTGAAAGTGCTGAAAGAGGACTCTGCAAGACGTTCCCAGCAGACCCTCACAGTTCATTTGGGTCTCGGGGTTAAGGTTCGGGTCATATCTCAGATTCTGGTAGAATAGGCCGTTACTTTCAATCACACCTTTGCAGGTTTCACTGTCATTCCTCATGTAAGCATTAAAATCTCCCAGCCGAATGAGTCCCCATCATCTCTGCGCCTTTCGAGAAGACTGGTACCAAAGCCCCAAGCCATGTGTCAGGTGAGGCTGACTATATCTGGTAAAAACTTCTCAACCTCGCACACATACCCGAGCTCCTTCTCGACCAGAGAGGTTACTTTCCACGTCCTTCAAACCAGCTTCTGTAGCCTGGGATTGGATTGCCAAGGCTCCTGCATTCAGGCTGACATCCAGCTATGTATGCACCCAACCTCCTTGGTGGTGAGTGCATGGGAAAGGAGACCTACGTCCCCTGTCGGGTAAGGTGCAGGCTCGTCCATGGCTTTTACCATCGAGCTCCACCTCCATGTCTGGCTCCAGAAGGGGCCCCCAGTGGCATGCCGTCCAGGCGAAAGAAGACTATTTTCATATATCTTATTAATCAAAGGAGATCTATGAATTGTACTTCATCAGGTTCCTCACCTTTGACCAGTTTGCCATGGGTGACCCTACCAGGGGCATGAAGCCTGAGACAACTTAGCTCCAAGAATCATTTGGACCACAAACCCCTCCACCATGATAAGGCTTAGGGAGGTGTAATAAAAATAACTGTTGTTGTTGATGTTGGGAAAAAGAAAAAAAAAAACGCGACTGACTGGCATACCCGTGGCATCATATCCCACCACCAGCACGGCGTGGTTGGGCCAGCGACTGGAGCAGTGGTGCTGGATGATTCCTCCCAAGTAGTCTTGCCAGCTGACAGCATCCACAACAGCAGACAGAGGACCCCTCTCCACCAGCTCTGCCTTCATCGCCTCCTCCTGACCACTAGGGGGGATGGAAGAGCAGAAACAACATTAGTCTTGCGCAAAGGAAGACTATACCCTAACAATGAAACACTATTGTTTAATTTTCACATGTAGCAACTTTTAACATGTTATACTAGTATAAAATATTATTTTGTTTAATGGTAATGTTCAAAGAAATGTTAAAAGAAAAAAAGAAATGAAAGGGGGGAATGGTAATGGGAATTTCACATTGAACAGTGTTAAAATGTGTCTTATAACTAACTTTTTGTACCATTGTGTGTGCTGACCATGTTATCTGCAGATAGGCAAAGATGCACGCTCATGCGTTAGACTTCACCCTGTTTTCTGTAAGTGTTGCTGTGCAAGGCAATGACTATCCTGTGTGGTCTGACTTTAACCGCTCCTAAGAAAAATTATACAGTTAGTTATAAGATCCATTTTAACACTGTTAAATGTCAACTTCCCATTATATGTTCATAATAAAAATAATAGAAATAAATTCCCAGCAGACCCTCACAGTTAATAGAAATAAATTCTGTATTTCTTCCATCCAACATCCATAATTTTTATACAAATAAAATCTGTATTATTTTCCCACCATATATTTAGTTTTATTTCAACAATAAATTCTATTCCAACAACTAAACATGTGTTGTTGTGAACCTGTGACTTGTTGAGAGCAGTGTACTACTGAGTGGTCAACATAATGTGTTGACAGAGCAAACGTTCCAAGTCCTGGACCCTCCTCTGTCCTTGAACGTCACATGATTTACAGTATTTTTAAATAAGGGGGTGTTAATTTTATTCTTTTATTGTCTACGCGCTGCACAAAAAAATAATAATACTGTGTCATTATTACCTGAAGTCGAAGGTGGTGAAGTTCCTCAAGGCGACGCCCCCTTTAGGATGGGAGAAGAAGTGACACATTCCATTCTTGGCCTTGTAGGGGTACTCGGACTGTGGCACCAGATTTATTCTGGTCTGCGCAGATGAAATCATGTTCAATGACTATTAATGATGTGCTCTCATGTTCAAAGACATACATGGTATCTTAATGGAACACTCTAAATTGTCCTTAGGTGTGATTGTGAGTGCAAATGGTTATTTGTTTTTACTGCAGACAGTGGATCGCAGACAGAAGGCACACAGCAAGCTTGGTGCCTCTGTTTTGAAGGAGAAAGAGTTGAGGAAGCTTGCACCGATTTTATTTGAGGGGGCATGGTAG